CTGGGTGTCAAAAAGGGGATGTTATTAGTGAAACTAGTAGCCTGTTAAATAGTATAAATGTCAGAAAATGGGCTCTCATTGCTGAAGTGAGGGGCATTCAAGATATAGGGATGGGCTAAAGTAGTTAGGGTCCCTCCCCATCCTCGTATGAACAAGGGATAAGAATCCACCGAGGCCTATATTTTGAAGCCCTTAGCAAAGGGGAAGAGGTCCAAAGACCCTGAAAAACTTGCCTTCGAGAAGGGGTAGAAGACAGCACGCAATCCATCAGGCCCTCGCAGACTCACCACTGTGGTCATTTAGTGCCTATCTCTGGCTTTAATTTTGCCCCAGTCTGCAGGATAAATTCTGACCTTCAAATTCTGAATCAAAGGGAGCTTAGTCTAAACTTTGGGGTTTGAGCATCATCTCTGTTCCTGCTTGTCTGGGCTTGGGCTGACCTTGGGCTGGTGAGGTTTTGATAACTTGGCTTCTGTCTTCTTCCCTGGAGCTTGGTAACTGGACCAGCAACTTGGCTGCCTGGATGAGGATCCTCCTCAACAGTCAGACCAAACCTGGGGTTTGAGTTCTGCTCTTGAAACACAGCCCAGCAGCTGGGGTCTGGCCAGGAGAGTATAATCTCCGTAAGTTTGCCCAAGACAGTCCCAGTTTATGCCTATTGACCCAGTGTAATTATTACACTCTTAAAGGGCCCTGGCTCAACGAGGAAATTACCTGGTCACTCTACCTATGAAAGAAGAGAGCATTCTCTTCTTCAGCATCACATTCTCAGTGTTTAGCACCGGGCTTGGCAGGGAGATGGGGTTCAAGGTGTATTTGCTGAAGGAACGAATGAATAAAAGAAGGAATATGTCACAATGTGTCACCTGGGGCCAGTCTTCCCTGATATTACTACTGCTGATCTGACTTGCAAACACTACTTGCCTTGCCTTTCAAACACATCATTACGTTGTCTACAGCCATTTAAATTAGGCCAACTTGAAGAGTCTTCTACTGACCAAAGCTGGGACAATCTGAATATCAACGAGAATAATAACATCAAGGGGTGAACACATTAAATATGGTTACATTCATAACTCAAGGTGATAATCAAAAGACTCCAAAATGAAACTTCATTTGTGATCTTTGGAAAGTCCTAGAGAACGAATTCACTATTTTAAGAACTGGTAAATAAAGGACAAAAATTAAGCATTGATCCTGCCTTCCTCGTGGAACTTATTGGCCCTCACCCTAAGTCATTAGCTGCTGAGGGGACATTTGTCTTTGTAAAAGCACACCAGCTAATAAATGAAGACTGAGTGATATATTTAGAATATCAGTATTTTGCAACCCCAAAGGAAATCCTGAGTCTAGCTCAGTGGTTCTCAAATGGAGGGATCTTGCCCCTCAGGGGACGTTTGGCAAGGTCTGAAGACAATTTTGGTTGTCACACTTGGGGAAGGGGTGCTTATAGCAATGAGAGAGTAGAGGCCAGGGATGCAGCTACACATATGACAATGCACAGGACAGTCCCCACCACAGAGAGTCACCTGACTCAACATTTCAATAGCGCTGAGGATGAGAAGCCTTGATGTAGGGATGACCATTGACGGTTAGAACCACCACAAGACAAAGACACGCAGACACCATGTGCCTCCTGATGGAAGTACATGGCACCTCCTGCGGAGCAGTCATGCCAGAAAATCAATCCCCAGTCTGACCACGCCTCTAGCTCTGTGGCTCCCATGCTCTAGTGTGCATTCAAATCACCAGATGGGCTTGCTACAACACAGATTGCTGGGACCCTCAACCAAAGTCTCTGATTCAAAGGTCTGGATGGGGCCCAAGAATTTGCATTTATAACAAGTTCCTAGGTGTTGATGCTGCTGGCCCACACTTCAAGATATACATGCCAATTCACAAGAAATACACAGGGCAGAAGGATATGTTAATTCATTATAGTATTCATCCATTATACTCTTTATTATACTATTGGAGTTCATTATGCCAGTTTCTCTATATTTGTATATGTTTGAAATTGTCCATAATCAAAAAATGAAAAAAGTTATCTATAGAAGAAAATTTAATAAAGTGGAAGCAGTTTATATCATTAAGAAAAAAAAATTATGCATTGGAAAAAAACAAAGGGAAGAAGTCCAGAATGTTAACTTTTAGCATCTCTGAATGGAAGAATTATGGCAATTTCTAAAAACTTCTTTTTGCTTTTCCATATCTTTTAACATTAACAATGCCCTTTTTTTATTTTAAGAAAGCTATAAAATTGCTCTGTGTTCAGCCTGGTGAACTGTACTTCGAAGTGTCTATATCTGCATCCATCCTCTTAGTGTCTTACTTTGCCTAGTGGAGGGTCTTTTCCCAGACACGGTTCTTTGCAGGCCATGGCAACCTGCTGTTGGGTAGTCCTATGCCATATCCATGAAATGACACCACATGACTATCACACAGGCACAAGGGAGCTCTAAGACAGTGCCACCGGGGTGGAAACGAGTGTTAAGTTAATTAAACGAGGAGGCCATTAGCCTGAGGTGGCTCTAATGCCATGGTGGCCTACATAAGCAAACCAAAACCCAACCCTGTAAAGGTCTCAAGCTTATGAAACTGAAACCTAAGGACAACCAATCAGAAAATCCAACTAGACTTTAAGCTGAACCAATCAAATAATTTCCTCACCTTGCTTCCACCTCTTCTCTGTGAAAGGCTTTCCCCCAGCTCCTGTTGGTGGAGCCGTCCTAACCACTTCAAGTTTGTCACTGCCTGATTCAAATGGACTTTTGCTCAAATAAACTCTGGAATTTTTTAATATGCCTCAGTTTGCCTTTCAACAGGAGAGAAAGACTACATTCCTCCTGATACGTACAGGAAGTCAGGAAGCTGACTTTTTTGTGCAATCTAAAATGCACAATTTTCTACATTTTAATATCTCCTAAATAGTCAAAGTCCTAATTAATAATACACTAAAATTATAAATGGCAGGAATTTGTGTTTCTTGGTGGCACGTGAAATAATGTGTCTAGTAATTGAGGGCAGTGTGGATTGGATAAAAATCTCACAGTGAAAGTCAATGACAGGATATTTGAAATTGATAAACAAACAAACAAAAAAGCCTTGTATTGACCAGATCTGCCCATGTCAAAGGAATGTCTCTCCTGACCCCAACCGTCCAAAGAAATATTTTCTGGGAGGCAGAATTGTGTTTTTTCAATCTGAACATGAGCGTGTGCATTTAAAATTCCCCGAGAGCACCTGGTTCCTAGCAAAACAGCAGGGAAACAGAACCCACTTTAGTCAGACAGCCCTGGCTCCCATTCCATTTGTGGTACCTCCTACGCCCTTTCCTTTTTGAAGCCTCACTTGCCTGATCTGTGAAAGGTAGATGACATTTCCTTCCTGCAGTTGTCGTGGGATTAAATGAGGGGAAGCACCGCATGGAGGAGATGCTCAAGGAAAGTTACCTCCCTCTTTATACAGAGGACACATAGCTCCAAAAAACCTTATGCAATCTGCAAAATGCGCCCATCAGGTGAGGAACTGGTGACCTGAGCAAAGTCACACAGCTGGCGGAGGAGACAGAGCTGGGGTTGACGAATAGGCTAGTGTCCCGTTGTGTATACAACAGCCGACTCCATCCAAATCCTCATCGCAGGCCCCAAGCCCTGTACTTCGGTTCTTGAAGAGCCACGACTCATTAAAAAAATGAAGCTCAGAATAAACAAATCCCAAGAATGACATGAAAATGGCTAGGCTACTTATAAGACATTGATTGATTCTAGTGAACATCTGTGTGAGTTACTGTGTCAAAAACGCAGGGGTCATAATTAGCTCCGATATGATCCAATGCCTGTGACCCTCTCCCCCTGACATCCTCTGGGGGCCACCAGTTCTAGCCTGACACAGCTGCTCTGCCACCCCAGTTTGCAGCTATATTGACACAGCCATTTTCATGGTAGGCCTGTTGTAAATTTGTTGTTACATGGTGCGTCTGCCCCAAATTGCATGGTGTACGTAAATTTTTGTGTGTGTGGTGGGGCTGGCACGGGGGTTGGGGGGGTACCGGGGCTGAATGGAGCGTGTGATGGGGCAACCCGCAGGAGACCTAACCCTGATAAATTGTTTACTTGTTAGCAGTGGGGCTCAAGAGTGGGCTGGGGGCTGCGGGCTCAGCAGGACAGACGTAGAAGGTGGACCCACGCCAATTACCAGCCATTGTGGTGTCCCACCCCATGATTGACACCAATGTCTCCCCTCTCACCATGGGTCCTTTTACTATCCTGGACCCAACACAAGCCCCCCTGTGCTAATACCATGGTGTCTTCAATTTCCTCTGCTGCCAGCAAAAATTAACCTAGGCCTCCGGCCTGTAGGAGACCTAAGCCCTTTATTTTATTATGCATTTTCCCCCAGTTTTTCAAGGATGAGTTAAAAAATAGAGGTTGCTAAGGCCAGTTGGGCAACAAAGGCAGCAAAGGGACAAACATTATCTTTGGATGACTGACTTCAAAGTTAATGATCTTCCCCACTGAATCGTGCCCTCCACTCCTCAATGAGGTCTTTGCCATCAGATAAAGAAGCGCCTCTTTAATCCACTAACACTTCTTTGTCCCTTTGTGGCAAAATGATCATTTCATCAGTTTCGGGTACACTCTGCCCGGAGAGTTTTTTAGCCTGAGTGATTCAGAGGAGGAGAGACAGAGAAGGGTATTTCTCTACTTCATTTTTTCTCAAGTGACGGCTGAATAACTATGCAAAAAAATTAAGGCATAATGACCCAGCAACAGTGACAAAACCTAATTAGTCACGGAGGCCACTGGGTAATGAGCCGCAAAACCCGGCTCTTGAGTGTGTAATAACTGTATTTTTCTCCATTTCTTCCCCTTTAGTCACAGCCTTGTGTGGCATTTTTAACAAACTAAAATGGCACCAGATGCAACAGGGTTCAGACATTTTAACTTGAATTAAGAAACCATATGTTCCGATAAGTCATGGTCTCTTCTTTCCCACAGACCGGGTCCTCCATCTGTGAGGTAACACCCCGGTGGCTAGGGAACGATGGCCATCGGGATGGTCACCCCACGAAGATGACTGGGTGTTGAGGCTGGGAGTGGGGCCCCCAGGACCCTCCCTCCACAGAGGTTCCGGCTCCTGCAGGCGGCCTGGACGGTCCAGATGTGGGGCCCCGATACACTCCGTGAGCACGGTAAGACTGAGAAGCTTAAGAAGGAAGAATAGGGGGAGGGGGCAGAGGTGGGAAGGACTCTGTGTCCAATAATGGAGTCTGGAATCCTGAGAATTGCCTTTAACCATTTATGACAAAGTTCTCCACTTTCAAGCAGTTTAAGACACTCGTTAGCCAAGTCTGAGACTCATGAAAGCCTTGGGGTGCAGGACGGCCCTTATCACCTCCATCTTTTTGAGATGAAGCAACCATGGATCACGGAGGTTAGGAAATTACCCAGGGTCACAGTTAGAAATGCAGGAATCAAGATTTGAAGCCACATCTGTGATCGTTATCTCGGTGTTTCCTATGTCTGTTGTTATTATTATTAATATTCACAATAACTTCCTCTTAGAATTGGAAAATTTTTGAAGGGTGGAAAGTTTACATAACATAGTTGGAGCAATATCTCTCTTCAACCCTCAGATGCAAAGTCAGTGGAGTTAAACGTCATTAATACATAATCTTTATTTTGAGCAGGGCATTGTCCGGGGTGTGCCCCTGGCCCCACTCTGAGTTTGATGTGGGAGACACTGCCCCACAGTGTTAAATTTAGTTTCTCCCCTACTTGCGTGAATGTCGTCTTACTCTGGCCGTCACCAACTTTGGGGCTGTGTATGGGCTTAGAAATAGCAGGCAGTATGATCTTTGTCCTCTGAGCGACAAGAAGGCTGACTTCTCTTTTGTCCCTCTCCATACCCAGCAGACCAAGAAAAAGGCTCCCCAAAATGAATCCAGCTCCCCCTAGAGACCAATAAGGACCTCATTTCCTCCTGAGCCTCTGGCCATGGAATCACAGAAGGGAATCGTGAATGAGGGATCCATTGTGGAATATGAAGCACAGAATTAATCAGAAAACACAGACACAGTTTTGGACAAAGACGCTGCCTCCTTGGGAAAATTTTTAAATAGCATGCATGAAAAAAATAAAAAATCCAGCAGCAATTCTCTCCCTATAACAGGAACAACACAGGGAATGAAAACACAAGCTAAAACGAAAAACAGGACTGGCTACACAATTTGCGGGTTTATATAATATAATTTATATTTTTAATTCGTCATATCATTCTGACACAGCAAAGGCCCGGTGTCTGGGACTGCGTGATGTGACAGTCCTTTGACTCTCTAATCCAGGACGAGCTGCATAATTTGCTGACCCCAGTGCAGAATGAGAATGTGGAGTCCCTTGTTCAAAAATTATTAAGAATTTCAAGAGGGCTACGGCAGAGCATTAAACCAAGGGCAGGCCCTTCTGAGTCTGGGATCCTGTGTGGCTGCACAGCTCACACACCATGGATACAGCCCCGCGAAGAAAGCTAATGCTTCAGCATCCATGTAGTAACAGCCCACAAGAGACAACTGTGAACAGCTCAGCCAAGGAGCCACCTAGCATAATTCCAGCTTCTCACTCTTTACTCTTCAAAGTTCACTCTTTCTCCTCCAAACTTTGGACTTCAGAAAGTCTGCTTTAGCATCGCAGAAGTACTGTATCTAAAATGGGCAGTTTCTCCAGGCAGACAAAGCCATTTCTTCTTGACTCTTCTCCAAACTTTCATCTATTCTAGTCCTGGCAAGCTTGGCTGCGCTGTTCATTGGGCCTTTTCCTGCGCTCGAGTCAAGTCATTATCCTCTTTTTATATACTGCACTTCGTGCCCTTGTGAACCTGTTGAAAATAGTGAAAGAGAGTTGAAAAGTACCACTGGCTCCTAAAAATAGTGCTGACTAGGAGGCAGAAAGGGGGAACTCCGGTTTTATTCAGTACTAAAGATAACACCACCAGAATGATAGACTCCTTCGAATTGTTTGTCCCCACTGGCCATTGTCCCGTGGGCACTGAATGAGCCTCTTAGCAGCTCTTGAGGGCCTGTCACAGGTAGGCACCCAACAGAGATAATTCCCAGCCTATGCTTGACTGCCCCTTTATAGACACTCACTCATGCTTCTGAAAGGCCTCAGACACTGTTGAATAAACTCCTACTCGCTTCCATAAACTTTTTCTCCCACTGAATTTTCCGGGGATGTGAGCAGCTTCCCAGCCTCGCCAGAGGATGCCTCTGAATGCACTCCTGTTCTGAATCAAAGCTTGACAGACAAGCCTCTTTCCAAAACAAGAGAAAAAACAGGGCCCAAGGTCCCCAGGAGGAATCTCTGCGCTTTCTTCCGCAGGTGAAGGCGGACTCAGAGGCCCTGGCCTTCCTCCTGCTCTTCTTGTGGGTTTATTGATCTGGGGTGCAGGAGACTTTTTTTTCCTGTGAAGGAAAAAAGCCTCTGTTTGCTGCCTGAGCCGTGTCTCTTTTGGTTTTGTAAAAGAAGGGCGTCCCTACAGGGCAAAGAGACTCCAGGGACGTGATTGTCTTCAGAACGTCCTAGAAGAGCATGGGCGTTAGAGCTGCACCAAGCTGGAGTTGAATCTAAGCTCTTCTGCTTGCTAACTCACGGGGGTTTGAGCGAGTGCCCTGCATCTCTGAGCCACAGTCTTCTCGCCTATAAAATAGGGCTAATGATACCCGACCTCACAGGCTCTTTTCTTTCAAAGGTTAGAATAGACCATGTATGTAAAGCATTTAGCATGGGGCCCAGTAGGAGACAGAGTTCAATAAAAGGTAGATTTTATTACTATACTATTACTCTGTTTTTCTTATGTTATTCTTCTGATTTATCAGACTCTTAGGAGCCCTTTCAGGCCAGTGCTTGGCTTCTGAAGGACATTTACCCGCCTGCCATTCAGATCTTTCTAAACCGGCTTCTCAGAAAAGGAGATACTATTTCCTCCTTAATACTTATAACCCAACTCCTTCAAATGTTTAGGTAGACACGTTTTGTTATATTTCCTCATCCAAATAATGCGAGTGAAAATCCCCAGACCTCAAAGGACTGTGTTAAGGTCATCAAGGCAAGAGAATGCTTAGGAGGGAAATTATACGAAAGTTTTTTTTATTGTTCTCTTTATTCTGTACTTCTTGCTCACCTTTTATTTCATTGTATGAAATAAACAAAGTGAACGCTTTGCCCTCCTCTTCCAGAAACATCAGGAGGTCCTTTCCGCAACAAAAACGAATCAAAAAGTAGGGGCAGCCCTATCCACCCAGGATGTTCATTGGCCCATCATTGATAAAATACACAAACTTCAAGGAGACCCATCTCTGAGGTCTCAGTTTTGAAATATCAGGCATGAGCCATACTTCCTTGGTGAAACCACAAGCGATTTGATCAACACGCTGACTGGTGTATGGATCTTCAAAAATCAGTGGGCTGGGCTGGCCCCGTGGCCGAGTGGTTAAATTCGTGTGCTCGGCTGCAGGCGGCCCAGTGTTTCTTTGGTTTGAATCCTGGGCACGGACATGGCACTGCTCATCAAACCACGCTGAGGCAGCATCCCACGTGCCACAACTAGAAGGACCCACAACGAAGAATGTACAAGTATGTACTGGGGGGCTTTGGGGAGAAAAAAGGAAAAAATAAATAAATAAAATCTTTAAAAAAAAAAATCAGTGGGCTGGAGGTTAGAGAGGAGGCTGCCCCGCTGAGCACATTAACATTGTTTCTCTGAACAGGAATAAATGCATTTGTGTACCATTCCAGGTGTTCCCCCTTTAGGATTAGCACAAGGCTCCTTGAGGCAAAGTTCTAGGAAAAGCTGTTCAAGAGAAATTCTGGCCCATTCTAACCCACCGTAAAGAATCCATTCCTCTGAACCATCTTTCCTCCCAGCTTCATAAAGGACTGCTTTTCAGCAATTCACTTATTCATGCAGCAACTCTTTATTGAACATCTACTCTGTGCCTGGTCCCATGCTCTATGTGGGGATAGAGAAGTGAGTCAGGAACAGATCCCCATGGCCAAGAATTCACTGTCTGGGTGGGATAACGAGACTATATATAAAGAACTCTAAGACAAAGTTTTTTAAAAAATCCACTGTGCCACAAAAGAGGTACAGATAAAATACTGTGAGAGTCCGAAAGAGAGATTAGTTCAGTTTGGAAGAGTGGGGAGGGGAGAGGATAGGATCAGGAAAATACTCTTGACTTGTGCCTTAAAAGATAGACTTGGATTGGTCCTCATGCAGATTGGCAGGGGGAGGAAACGAGCTTCCAGAGAGAGAAACAGTCAAAGCTCAGAAGTGTGGGATCGAGGGGCACGTTCAAGAATAGGAGTCTTAGCATGTGTCCATCCAATTGTCAAAGAGGCATGAACTCTGAGAGTTAGGGACCTTTCTTACCCACAGCCTTAGCAGTTAGCGGGCTCGTTTGGAGCCATCTTCCTGCCCTTGGTTAGATTCCACAAATGCTTCCCTGTTTCCAAAGGACATAGAGCTCCACCAGGAGTTCTGGGAAGTCAACCCAGCATGAGACTTGGTCCCTGCCCTCCCGGGGCTCGAGCCCTGCTTCTCAGTCTTCTCCTCTCCCAACACATAGTGTCAACATCCCCCTCACTATATTGAAATCATCTCTAGATATTATCACACGTGATAGAACCTACCTACACATATAATTTCACAAAAAGCAATGTGATGCCCCATCAGTAATATAAGAGGAATAAAAGGAAAAGAGTTTGTAGTAAAACAGCATGTATTTCAATATGTAAATGCTTGAGGAAACTTACACTAGTAGTTATGAGAGGTCAGAAGTTTTCGTCTCCATATAGAATCATTGTAAATGCAATAGCTATAAAGCTGACTGACAACTGTATTTTGTTGGAGATTCAAATACCACAAGTAGTGCTGCCATCAGTGGATGTAATTTTCTGAAGTGGTGAAAAACTCTCGGGTAAAGGCAAGTAAACAAAGTATAATTGCCCTTTTTTATTTTTTAACAATGGTCATTGCATCCCTGGACAATTCTCTGTATGTTAAAACTGTGCAAAGATTACTTGGTGTCTGTACGTAATACAAAGTTAGGTTTGAGACCTAACTTTAGATAATTACAAACAAGTTTTTAACCTTGGATGTCTAGTGGAACATCACAAAGCATTGTGGGTTGTGGGATGATTCCCTGCACAGTAAGTGACAATGGTCCTCCCCAATCAATGTGATAACCAGTCCCCACACATAAATTTACAAAATGCCTCCTAGGAGCCATGCCACCCCCATTGAGAACCACTGGCTTAGAGTCTAGCTCAGAGGGAAAGTTTACACGCCAAAGGGCAATCAGTATTATGAGGAATCATCTATTAAATGTCAAATCAGTTGTTCAGAATAGACATTAAGTATTATTCAAAGGAAGGCAAGTAAACAATGGGTTTAAGTCACCAGGAAATGCTTCATAATTAAGCATGGTGTAAGAAAGCATATAGACTTTGAAGTCAGACAGGCCCTGGGTTCAGAATCCCAACTTTGACACTTACTCCCTATGTGAATTTGGGTAAGCAATTTAACTTTTCCAAGCCTCCTTTGCCCACCTGTAGCATGGGAGAAATGATACCTATTTTGAAAGATAAGTAAAGTGGATTAAATGAAATTTTTTTTTTAAAGATTGGCACCTGCGCTAACATCTGTCTCCAATCTTTTTCTTTTTCTCCTCCTCCTCCTCCTTCTTCTTCTCCCCAAAGCCCCCTGGTACATAGTTGTATATTCTAGTTGTGAGTGCCTCTGGTTGTGCTATATGGGACGCTGCCTCAACATGACCTGATGAGCGGTGCCATGTCCGCACCCAGGATCCGAACCAGTGAAACCCTGGGCCACCAAAGTGGAGCAAGTGAACTTAACCACTCGGCCACGGGGCTGGCCCCTAAATGGCATTATATATGTAAAGTATCTTGGAGAATACCTGGTTCATGGTAGACACTCAGCAAATAGTAGCTGTCATTGATATAAAGAAAGAGCAACTTCATTTGGCCTTTGAAGGATTGCAGGAGGGAAGGCAAAGTGGGCACAGCACAAGCAAAGGCCTGGAGGCAGGAACGTCTATGGTGGGTTTGGGGGCAAATAGTTCAGTCAGACTGGCAAAGAGGGTGAACGTGGGAGGCGTGATTGACAAGTGGGCACATTTAAGAATATGAAGCCCTGAATGCTTGATAAGGAGGTTGGCACTGATTCTGGTTGGCTAAGGGAGTCAGTGAATGTGGAGCAGTCCTAATGACACCCAGGGCAGAGCCAACTGCAGACAAGTTCAGCAAGAGCTCCAGCCCCTGCTGCTCTAAACAGCCATGTTCTGTACCACATGCTTCTCACACTGCTCTACACCTCAGCTGATGTGAACTGGGGTGGCCTTGGACTTAAGAGAAGCCTGTCCAGTGACCTATGATTTATGCTTAAAAAGTCTGCTTGAAAAATTGAGCTAGGCCAATTAGATTCTTCTTTTGGGAATGTGTAAAGAATAAGACAATAGCTGCTAGAGCTGAGCAGAAAGAGCTCAAGGCAGACCTGGGACTTTGGTATCCACTTGGGACCAGGGGCGCACTGAAGCTAGGAGGAAGCCAGCTGCTAGAAAGCTAGGAGACTGGATCAGACATGGACAGAAGCAGCAGCAGCATTATGAGAAACCATGTGGCCCAGCAGAGAGAGGCCAAGAGAGTAGTTACCTGCAGTACAGGTGGTTTTCCGGTTCTAGAGTGAGTTTATGTGCATCCTTACAAAAATTTCCCTTCGCTGAAGGTTAGTTGAGTGGATTTATTATTCTAGTTGTCCAAACTGCTCTAAGCACAGCAGTGTTTATCTCTTCTGGAGGTTCCTGGATAAAGTGATTCCAATATATTAAAATTCTTATGCATATTAATATCTCAACTTTGCATGTAGCCTAGTCATGGAAGGGATATGCCAAGTTACAATCTATGACACTATAAGAAAGACAAAGAACGGATTCTGATTGATGATGGTGATAATAAGCCTTATGCTTAATGTCCTTCCAATAAAATTTCTACTAAAATTATCAAAGGTAATTTCTCCATATCAACCATTATAGAGAAAAATCCATTTTATCACTGGAAACTAGGGAACAGTGCCACTGACATGCCAGCAATTTTCAGGAATTTCTGCAGATTACAGCACAAGCAGTACCATATTTCTGGAGGGACTACTAATATGCCACATGGAAAAGAAGACTGCCTGAGTTGTAAATGGAAGAAACCCCAATGGAACCCAGAAAACAATCCCTACCTTACAGCATTTCTTGAGGGAAATCAGTGAACAGACAGATTTCAAGCTTCCTAAAGCATGTAGAAGGGCAGAGTGCTATAATCCAAAAGGAACTGGGATCACGTTGCAACAGACCATACCTGACATGGATGGATGGTCCATCAAAACACACAGAAGACCTGCCAAAGGAAGAGCAAGAGCTGTCCTGCAAATTAGAGAGGAGCATGAGTGAGGTTAATGCAGACAACTACACTCAAGAAAAAGCAATTCACACATAAAAGTAAATATCCCTGCTTTGACACCTCTGGTGGCTGCTTCCTTCTACCCCAGGAGATGAAGGTATCTCTGATCAGTGAAAGAGTGACAGATACCATAGGGTCACCCATCATAGCTGTTCTTATCCTCTTCCTACGTAGTGAAATGTTTAGTGGGGCACATGGTTGCTCAGAAGAAAAAGGACATTTCCCAGCCTTCCTTGCAGGTAGGATTCAGTCATGTGACTAAGGTCTGGCCAATGGAATGTAAGTAGAAGTATCATGTGGCAGCTTCCATAAA